AATCAGAAATAAAATTTAAGGTATTTCTAAGGTATAATTTAGGGTATAATACATACTTTGGTATCCAATTGCCACAATTTCATTTAGTGTTTTATTCCAAACTATTAACAAATAGATTTCTTACCTCATCATTGATAACCTCAGATTGTTCTTCCTCTTCCTCCTCCTCAAGGTCCAAGTCATTTTGTCTAAGGTATGCTTGTAATGGAACACAGTGTTTCTTCTTAAAAGCTAAGAAGTCCATCATATTCCCTTGAAGATGTTGCAAGAAAAATAGTTCAATCAAATATTCCTTAAAAGTCTCCCTCAGAATCTCCATCTGTTTGTGGTGATGATCCAAACACTGCTTTCTCATCTGAGCAGCTTCTTGGGTGGCAGGTGGAATCTCCTCCAATTTTTTAGGTTGTTTTTTCACTCCTGTACTTACCGTAGGAGTAAGAGGAAGATTAGACAGACCCTGTGGTACAGTGGCTCGTGACGGGCTTGTAGGAGGGGGTGGTGATGTCATTCCAAAAGCAGGTGATCCTCCAACTCCAGCTAGTAATCCACCAGGAGCCCTATCAAATCCTATGGGTCTGCTCAACTGCTGCCCTTGAAGTGCTTGCTGCTGCTGCATGAGCTGTCCTTGAATAATATTGCTGATTTGCGGTGGCAAGTTAGTAGTTGTAATATGACCTGGGCTAGTCAAAGGTTGCATATTTGCTCCACTAGCTACAGGACTTTGAGGTCCAAGATGATGAATGGTGCCACCAGTCTGTGAATGAGGTTGTGAAAGCCTGCGTTCTCGTACAGTTGCAGGTGCCCCAGAAGATGGAATTTGTACCTGTGCTGTAGTTCCTTGAGCAATTTGTGCAATTCCAGATCCTTCTTGATATACAAAGTGTCCACCATTTGAAGGGCTCAGACTGATCTGTCGCACAAGCAAACTAGCATCTACAAATCCTCTAGTAGGGCTCTGGCTGCACATACCCAAGCCAGAACCCGGAGTGCCTGCCCGAACATTTGGTAGTGACTGCACTGGTACAGGACTGGGTTGTGTAGGGCTTTGAGACTGAACCTGCTGGGGTAATGGTGAAGTAACTTGAATATATGATGGAGATCCATGCTCAAACCTCCTTTGCTGAGGGCTAAACTGAAAATTTGGTGATGTGGGATTTGGTATTGGCAAAGGGGTAAGTGTTATCTGTTGGTTTCCTGATGCTACTGGTCCAACATTCTGCAGTGTGATGTTCACATTCTGCCCAGCTACCGGACTTCTACTCATTATAAATTGCTGTATTTGGTAACTGGGGGACTGTGGTGCAGATGGGCTTGCAGAAGGAGCAAATGAAGTTGCAGGGGACTGCGGTAAGTTTGTCTGCTGCTCTTCTCCCTCACTACCTGTGAAGGATCTGGACCTCTGGAGCTGACGCTGAGCATTCTGAGGACCGTTGCCATGGTGCATTTTCACCTTTTTTGTTTTTTAAAGTAAATTCTAAAGAAACACATAAAAACAGAAATTTAGTGAAGGTAAAGATTTTTTTTGGTAACTGAATGTTAGAAGATATACATCTGAGTAAGAATTTAGAAGTTTTTCTGCCTCAAAATTAGGAACACATTCTACCTTTATAGTTAATTAAAACAATAACCTTCATGCAATTATTCAAGATATGGATGGTCTGAAACACAAACACCACAAATATATTTACTATCTAAACCTCTGATACACTTCTCTAGCCAACTAAGACATTCTGGAATAACCCACAGCAAAATGGAATTACAAGTGATACGTTCCTCTTTTGACCAACCAAGCTGAGATGAAAGTTAAAAGACTGCTTTCTCCTTCCATTTGCTGTGGAATATCCACAGGTAATGTAGGCTCCATTTTTTAAACATATCTGTTTTGGCTCAATAACATTATCTAAAGTGAAAAATGTTCTGGTTTTCAAGTTATTTGGCATTCTAGTGTAGTACAATCTCACTAATGTGCACTGACAGGGAGACCGATTGCCAAAGACTGGGCACTGCAAATTAGCAAGAGAATCAAAAGAAAGCTAGTATTTTAAAAAACCTACCTTGCTCATTTATTTTGAAAACTGCAGTTCCATTTCTAATACTTCACTGCATACAAATGTGTGGGTCTATAGTATGCCATACCTCTTCACTCCCCCATTTCTTGTCATGGTTGCTGGCTATTTAAATCTAAACTCCTAGGAACAAGGAGTTGTTATATTCATTTGTCTGTCAAACACTAATCATGTATGGCAATCTACAAATCAGTGAAAATGCCTAATCAACCCTTGATAATGAGACCTCATCAGCACACCCCACTATTAACCTCCTGGCTGAAAAGCGGGAAGGGCGATTACCCTTTGAAGTATGTGCATTAGCGGTGCTCCTGTAACATGAATTACTTCAGGCAAGTGAATCCTGATTTGTTAGAACTCCTAATTTTAACAAGTTGCATGCGGCCCCACGCCCGTCCAGAAACCAAGATTTGTCTGTAGAGACCGGTCCTGGATGTCCCCGAGACTCGCAGAGCATGCGAGTGTGTGTATACACACACACACACACACACACACCCCTTCACACCGCTGCCAGTGCAAAGCGGGAGGATGCTGCTCAGCGGGGAGCCATGGGCGGGGTGAGGGTGAATTTCCCTTTACACTTAACTCCTAACGGCCACGGGAACTCCCGGTAACCCCCGTCCCCGGCGGCGGGGCAGGCTCCTGGTTCCCCCTCGCCCCTTGCGCCGCGCTGCGCGGCGGGGAGCAGAGACCAAGGCCCGCTCCGCAGCCTCCCCCCGCGCGTGGGACGGGTGCCCCGGAGTCAGGGCCCGGCCTCAGCCCCGGGCCTGCTCGGCTCTGCGGACGGAGCCGGGCGGAGGGGAGCCCGGTACCCCCCACTCCGGCCCCCCCGGCGGGGACCCACTTACCCCAGGTGCCGGGGCCGCACTTTCCATTCCCTCCTCACAGGAAGCTGGGGACCGTCACCGGGGAGGGGGGAGAACACATCCGCTACGGGCGCTGATATGAGACAAACGGCGAATTCCATTCCTGTACCGAGACGCCCTCACTGAGTATGCGCAAGGGCTCGAACCAAACCGTGGGAGCAGCAGGATTGCGCTAGGGGTAAGGGGCCGCGTAGCGGAGGTGTCCGTCCCCCCCGCCCCGGTCCCCAGCTTCCTAGGAGGAGCGAATGGAAAGTGGGTCCCCGCCGGGGGTGCCGGGCTCCCCTCGGCCCTGCTCCCTCGATATTTCAGTGTCGTTTGGTGTTCACTTTCTTGTGCTTTATGTAAATTGGTATGGCTTGCTATAAAAAAAAAAAAAAAAAGAGGGGGGAGGGAGGAGAAAGGAGGAATCCCATAGAGCATTATGGACAGACTAAATGTACCATTTGAGAAATTACCGCCTTCAGTATAGCTGTATTTAGATATACAAAAGGTCTGTTATGATTTGTTGTGATAAATCCTTTGGGAAGTGCTTACTATGCATTTGTATAGTTGTTGCCACTTTCAACAGCCAATTGCACTTAGAGAACTTCAGAATGGTAAATTAATTCCTTTTTATGGACTAGCATAATTTCCTCTTTAAAAAAAAAAAGAAAGAAAGCTGTTAAGAGCTTTCTTTGGGTAACCTTTATTTTTTGCATAGTTAATCTCATAATAGAGTATGTGGTGATAGCACAGTTGCTAAAAGTGAAGACCTAACAATCTGGTATGGAAATTCACACAAAAGAACTGTGCACCCATAAACTCTCCTAGACTTTAAGCCCTCACCAGCAATGCTGTGGAATAGCTGAGGGCCAAAAATTATACAGACAACCTGCGTTACTTCAGAATTCCAATATCCATTTCACTAGCTGTGCCATTACTTTCTAGTAGTCAGCTGCTTATGTCTAGTAGCAAGCTATAATAAAATAAATTTAAATCCTGGATTCAGAGAAGTGGAGCTGAAATTTGCACCTGGGTTGAGATTTTTTTATTCCACATTTTGATTCTGAGCAATTTTTTGGCCAAGTTAAACAGCTCAGTCGTGGGGCTCAATCCTGAGGCATGCCAACCACGGGTAGCGGCGGCAGGGCTCCGGTGAGGATTTAAAGGGCCCAGGCCGCTGCAGGGAGCCCCGGACCCTTTAAAGCACCACCAGAGCTCCGGCAGCAGGGCTCGGGCGGCGCTTTAAAGGGTCCAGGGCTCCCTGCAGTGGCTGGAGCACCGGGCCCTTTAAATCCCCTCCTGAGCCCGACTGCCAGAGCCCTGGGGCTCCAGCAGGGATTTAAATGGCCCGGAGCTCTGCGGTGGCCGGAGCCCCGGGGCCTTTACATCGCCTCTTCCAGTTGACCGCTCAGGACTCCGACATACCAGTAAGTCCTTTAAGTTACTTTCACTCCTGGACATGCACAAAGAAACAGGACAGAAAGAAAGCAATTTATATGAAAAGAAAGGACACTTTATTGTTCAACTTACACTGTTTAGGCAATATGTCAGTGTTCACTGAATTTACAGCGCTAAAGATTCATCTAAAAATTTACAGTTTGCATTTTGTTTCCATACACCTAACAGGACAGCTATTCAGTTACAGTAGATCTAACAAAAAAAGTCAGCAGTTTTCATTGTTATGCATTCCATTTAGTGCAACACTCCACTAGTAAAATGTAGTTCTGTTTAAAGAATAACTGGCTATTATTTGATATTGCTCTGGAGACAATAGCCTAGCACAATGATGAACATGTTGATTACACCTCTGTCTCTGTAATTTAGTCATTCACTGCTTTGGTACAGGATGGTCATTTTCTGTCAGCAGAAAGCATTTCATTTTAACAGACCTTTTATCTGTACATTCCAATTAATATATTTTCAATGTTGAGTACATTTTTTTTTCAGATTTCAGTAATAACTTCTCTTGCATTTATGTCTGTAAAAAAGTGCTCAGTCTTCATTTGGAAAATAAAATGTGGACAACCTGCAGATTTTATTGTCATGGTTTAGCAAACATAAAATACTGTACTTTTCTGCTTATTCTAATGTAATCTTTAGTTCAAGGTTTCATAGATGCTTTCACAGTATGAAAGTAGGTAACCTCATGTGCACTTTTACTTGCTAATTTAGGTTGAGGCTGCTGAGTTCTGTACACCTGGAGTCAGTGATTGGAGAGAGACTATTGTCAGGACCTGTTCCTCTATTGGCTTCTGGGGGATCACCTGAGCTGTAGCCATTGCTGCAGAAATCATTCAGGCGTGGTGACCAGCAGGTGGTGACTGGGACACTGCCGCAGTCTGTGACTGAGCCTGAACCTAAATTATAGATGAAGATAAGTTACTAGCTGATTGTACATTTTACACAGTCAAAAATGTGAAACAAAAGTAAGAGATGGCAGAAACTCTGGAGAAGCCTGAGACTAAGAACACGACTGGAAGTCAGGAGAATGAAATGCTATTCCCAAACTTGATACTGATTTACTGTGTGATTTTGGGCAAAATCACTTAATTTCTCAGTAATTAATTTTGCCATTTATAAAATGGGAGAAATAAGACCGGGATTCTTGGAGTTAATAAAGATAATAATATTTTGCCCTTATGTAGCACCTATCCGGGGATTTCAAAAATCACCGTACAAACATTAATTCTCAGAAAACGCCTGTGAGGTGAGTAGTGCTTTCATTTTACAGATAGGAAGATACTCGTAGAAAGATTGATTTGCTCCAGGATTACAGAACTGATCAGTGGCAGAGCTGACAGCAGAACCTTGGAAAACCCAATTTTTAAAAAATCCTTAGCAGGTCACTTAAAGAGAAGATCATCTCTAGTACCTGGCCTACCGATGAGAAAAAAAGTAGTCATGCAAAACTGTCAAAACAACACCAAAAAGCATATATCATTTGAATGAGACAGCAAGCAAAGCCGCTTACCTTTTCTACACTGTAGCTTGGCCTTGAACAATCTGGGAATGGATGGCTCTGTTGCTGAGCTACTTGATGTGTAAGTTTTGGAAACTGACGGACATGTACAGCCAATGTCTGGGCTCCTGCAAATCAGCAGTAAAATAAGGTGCAAAGGTTAGTATTTAGAATGTAACACACATTTCTTCTAAGAATATCATCAAAATGTCTAACTGTTCATATTATATTTCTATCTAACCGTATACAGTATTGTGATATAAAATTTAGTTTCAGAGAGGATTTAACAAAAATCCACTTCCAACGGCAAACAGGACATTTTTCTAGTCTTGGAAGGCACTATAGAAGTGCAAAGTATGTTTCCAGCCCCACTCCTGGCTCCAGACTCACCCCCAGTTGCGGCCCCTTTACCCCATCCATGTTCCCCTCCTCCCCCACTCCTGGTTCTGGGGGGACGCAGACACGGGTAAGGGGGGGCATTACCCTGAAAAGTTTAGGCACCACTGCTCTATTGGTTTAAAACTGGTTACATCGGTTTACCTTGCCCTGAACCTATATAAAAGAGGTTTAAATCTACTTAAGAGCTTGTCTAGATGAACAGTTAGTGTGCGGCAAGCTGGGGTGTAAAACTACAGCATACCAGTCTGTTGCACACTAAGGGCTTCTCTACACTTGAAACGCTACAGCGGCACAGCAGTTGCACTGCAGCTGTGCTGCTGTTGTGCTTCAGTGTATACATTACTGATGCCAACGGGAAGGGTTCTCCCATCAGCATAAGTAATCCACCCCACTCCCCTAGAGAGGCTGTAGCTAAACTGATGGAAAAATTCTTCCGTCAATCTAGCACTGGCTATGGCGGGGGTTAGGTCAGTTTAACTACACATCAGGGGTGTGGATTTTTCACAACTCTGAGCAACACAGCTGGGTCGACCTAACTCTTTAGTGTAGACCAGGCCTAACTCTTGGTGTGACCCTGCTGCTTATCCTATTAATGCGTGCTAGGCATTCCCTGGTTCACTTTATACACTGCTGTTTGAAATAGCAAAAGGTCAAATATACTAGGAATCATCTAGAGTGCAGGGACCATGCAGTCAGTGCACAGCAGGCTGGAGCAATATAGATTTACACACCAGCTTGCCACACACAGTTTGTATAGACATGCCTTAAGAGTGTCCATACACAATGTTACATTGATTTAATTAAACTGATTTTTTTTTAAATCACACCTTTAGTTAAACTGATGCATCTGTGTGAAAACTAGGCCTTTGTTTGATGCCTACAAGGTTCAAAAGAGACGACAGCAAACTAGATAAGGATTGGAGTTCAGATTTACACCCTAATCCTGATCTATATCTTGCCCATCATCTTCCCATTCTCCCTTCCTATCAAACATACAAGTGAAAAGCAGCCATTGTTTTTGGATGTCCTAAAAATAATTGATCCAGGTTGCCAAAATATAGCCTGAACAATGAGGTTTCTCCAATAACCTTGTTTTACAGCAATTCAGACTTCCTCCTCTCTTAATGAGCAGAAGTTGTAGGACTGTGGCTCTCAAGTAACAGTCATGCTATAGTGTGTGCAGAGGCACCCTGTTGTACTGGAAATTCTTGAAAGGAATTCTGCCTGACCCAAACACACTGCAGCAACAGTTCTGCCACCCTTTCAACAGATGCAACATGCACTCCAGTCCTTGCCTGGCTAGTTCTGATGGCTAGTTATCCTTTTCAGAGTAGCTAGATGTGTAAAGTGCCCAGTTTATATCAATAGCCTTTAAATCTGAAATATGAAGATAACTGTGTTGATGTTTAAACTGTCAACTATTTCACTGCTGATCATTTTAGCTGAACCAAACTATAGTGCTTATCCCACAGTCTTATACTTCTCTCATACTTCTGCATGTGCCAAAAGACCCAGTGGTCCTGACCCATCTAACAAAACTTCCAACTTCCCCTTTCACTGTTGTTCTACATTGTCCTCAGTTATACCTGTTGTACCCCATAGTTCAGATTTTGGCCTCAGTAAGGTTAGAGCAAACCCCGTTACACCACAATGGGATGGCACGAATGTGGTAGAGGGCACAATTTAATCTGCAGACCTTCTTACTGGATATGATGCATGACATGTAAAGAACACAGTTTAGCTCTAAAAGCTTATTGTAAGTTTGCAGGTTGTAGGTTCTAAAAAATGGACAAATCAATGAATTTCACAATGCCATTTTTAAAGAGTCATTCTTAGGGTGGGACCATAGTTGCAGAGTTTTATGCAGTTCTCATTACTCAAAAGGATGGTAGCCATATTGCTGGGATTAAGAGGGGCATAAGGGAGATAACTGATCAGTGGGGCATGCCCACCTCACCATTCATACAGCTAGCTGGCGGTGCAATTGAGACATTACAACAAGTAATGCGAGTACTGCAAGTACCGAAGCATGATTTGGATTCTTCAGGAAGGTAATCATGCCAAAACTGAAATTCACAAGAATATCTGTGGAATCAGAACACCTTTGAGAAGTATAATGGAATTGTCTGTGTGTGTTTGCATCTCTCTCTCTCTCTCTCTCTCACACACACACACACACACATTCTCAACATCATTTTTATCAGATTTAAAACATGTAAATGATATGGGCTTTAAGTAAACATACAGAGGTTTAACTGACGGACTTCTTTTTCTTGCTATCTTTTTCATTAAATCAAAGTGACTCATGTAAAGTTGCGTGTGTGCAGCATTCTGGTCTTCAGCATAGATCTGTCTGGTACAAACAGGGTGACTATTGATGTTCTGAAATAAAAATAGCATCAGATGATAAATGCCGTGAGTCACCACTGTAATATCTCAAAAATTATAGTTTACATTAAACCGGACTGACCCATTCTAATTCAATTTTTTCCCACTTGAAGATACTAAAAAGAAATAACTGCCTTGTCATTTTTGTTTTAAAATTTACCAACTAATCGGTTATTAAATAGTCACTTCTATAGTGTTTTTCACCATCAGGGAATTTGGAAATGTCAGTTAAACCTGAAAATACCATGTAATTTCCTAATTTTACAGACAGAAAACTGAGTCAAAGACATGAAGTGACTTGTATAAGGTCATTCATCAAGTCAATAAGCTCATATCTGTGGTTCATCTCTCACTCTAAGGACTCAAATGTTTTCATAATAATAGGTGTGTGCATGGTCTGTCTCTCTTTCTCTCTCATAACTCAACTTCTCTTAACTGTTAAGGTTATAATAATCATGTAATAATCACTGCATTATCTCCCTGACCTGATTGCAAAGAGGTAAATCCCTTATATTGACAAAAGAAAGTTAGAAACTTAATTTTAACTTCTTGTTTACTATATAGTGCAAAATTAAATTTAACACGTGTCTTATTTGATATCGTCAGGTATCTCTCTCTGAAAAACCACACTCATAACTAGTTTTTGCTTTCTCCTTTAGTTGACCTTCAAAATCAGTCACAAGAGAAGATATTGTTACAATATTTTAGTTTTATTTTTTGCACACTATAGTTATAGCCAATTAACAGTAATGCTTCTAAATTGCACAGACAACATTTCAGGGAGTCTCACTTATGACTCAAGTATGTGATAAAGTCTGATGATAATAATTTGAGTCCAAAGAATCACTTCCAGAAAGATACCACGACTAATCCAGGAGGCACCAATTAGAGTTGACCCAAAGAATTAATTATTTAACACTAACACTTTTGCCTCTACTCTGCATAAAAGCAAGAGCTGAGTGAAATATTTTTGGCAAATAGTAAACATTTGCCAAAAAATGCATTTGGGGGACAGGGAGCTCAAACTATTTGTGAATTCAGGTCAAATTCAGCAAACAGTTTCAGCCAAAAAAAAACTGAAAAAAATTTGGAAACATCGACATCTCATCTGGACAATGTTGATTCAACACACCATTTCAACAATACTGATTTGATTTGACATTCAAAACCTTTCATTCAGCTCAAACAAAAAAATTTTTTTGTTTTTTCATTTAGGTGAGGAAAACCAAACAAATTTAGCTTTGGTTAGAAACTAAATCTTTTTTCTGATTTTTTGGTTTGACTACCAAATATAAAATAAATTATTCGTTTAGCTCTAATGAAGACTTATTCAAACAGAATTTACTACTGTGTTGTAACTTGTTTAACTGATAAACACTAAAATCAGTCTGCTCTTCTGTATAAATTATTCTCATTTTATTCCAGGATGTCTGTTTCAATCCTCAATTAGTGACAGAGAATCAGGCTTTGGTAAAGATTGAACCACCATTGCTTGGATCAAATTTAAGTACCCAGTCGATAAGGGAAAGTTATAATCTACACCATAGTATCAAAGTTAATTCAGATTTTTTAATTTCTTCCTTAATATCAGATGTAATCACAATCATTTTGTTAATCTATATATTCTGTACTCTGTTACATCACTGTATTCTATTCAAACTAGTCAGTCAAAGTAGGCATGTAAAATTTTGTCCAGTATTAGTGGAATACATTTTGTAAATTTATTTAATGTGATATATTAAACATACTCCATATTGATTGTCTGGTGTGAGAAATGTGTATAATGCTTGCCAATAGACCATGGTATACAGAATTTTACAGCATATGCTTTCTGAATACTAGGGCAGCTTTACAATAGATCAAGAAAAATGCTGTACAGTCTACAATGAAAACTGAATAAATTGGTGCCCCTAGTGTGTTAAAGGAATGCACAATTCAATTTAAACTCACCTTTCCTTCCTCTCTTGGAATAATAACATTTTCATATCGATTTTGGCATTGTTTTGGTGAACGATAAACTTGGTTATAGGAATTAACAAGGTCACTAACAAGATCCCAATTGGGTGTGTGCACTGGTGACATAATGGCAAGATTTGAAGGACGCTCCAGTAACTGCTTCACTGCCTAGAAAAGAAGAAGGTATAAGACTCAGGATGATACTACTAATACTACAAAGTGTAAAGTAAATGTGTGTGTGTGTGTCACCAAATTAATTAGATTTCACAGATGCTGAAAATAACTTTGTAGAGAGAAAGTCAGAGAAACGTTATTTCTGGAGCCAATAAACAAACTATAGTTAAAAGCAAAAATTAAAAAACTCAAAAAGCCCAATAATGAAACAGAAGGACTTTATTACTTGTAGCAGCGCCCAGTCTTCACTAATCAGCCACTCAGGATTGTCCTGTCCAGCTGCTGCCCGTCTAGCCTCAGCAGCTTGTTTGACAACAGCAGGCAAAGGTTTTGTGAAATATGTTTGCTGTTTCAGCAGCATGGTCTTCTGCTTGTTACCCTTTCGACGCATTTTCAACATTCTTGGAGTCGCTCGGTGAAAAAGTGACCGAGGAATAGCCACCTCTCCATGACGATGTTTCTTCCTCCTACCTGCAGCTATCAGTGAAACGAGGGAATCATTTCAGTGAAAGGATGGATGGAACTTTGTTAAAGCAAAAAATGACTATAGCAGTCATCCGGCTCTACTAGAGAAGTGTTCACAATACTGTGTTTTGTATTGTAAAAAGGTGTCTACCTTCAATTTATTGTCAGCTATGAATAAATTTAATAAGACCAGTGATTTCTAACTTAACTCTTCAATCATAATAGCTTTGACTTCCTTTAATTACTACTAAACCACAGCTACTATAGTTTTTCATTTTCGTTTTTACTGTAGCTTAAATAATGTACTGAATGTGATTCTCAAGACAGGAAATAAGCCTAATTGGGGGTGGGGGCAAGAGGGAGAATGACACAGGTTTCACTGCTCAGTCACTGTTAATTTCATTCATTCATTTCTATTTCTAGTTCAGAAAATAAAGGTTAAGACTTCTAGCACCCAATTTTCAAAAGGCACTCCACCCTGTCTCTAAGTCAGCACTCAAAATCATTCACATCAATAAAAAAAAAATCTAATTTGCTTAGAGAAATGGTATACAAAACACCCTAATCTTTAGGTATGAACATATAAATGTTTTTTAAAATTTGGCCACTTGAGTTTGTGAAATTTTCCATTTTATTTACAAAGAAATAAATAAGGAAAGGCTACCAGATGGATCCATTCTGAATTGCTTACTCTCCTTCCTGGCATACAAAGGGGGCAGCTTAGACTCTGAAATTGGTGTGGAATCATACATCAGACATGTAACAGCATCAATGTAGACGTTATTGTGATCTGGAGGCAGAGTAAGGGGAGTCCAAATCTGAAAAAAAACACAGATTATATGTCGTCATGAATAGTTAACTAACTGCAGATAGGTTTATTTCCTCTTCAAAAAAAAAAATTACTGACTTACTGGCATTCTTTCTATTTGCCCATCTGGGTCTTCATAGACATATTCCTGTACAGGAAAGATACAACTCTTAATGATACCAATGATACCAGTGAAGAGATCCCAACATATACAAACAAGCAGCTAACAATGAATAGGTATATTTACAATAACTATAGTAAATAGTTACAATTACTCCAAAATTAAATATAAGTGCATTAATGAAGCAGATCAGCTTCAAGGTGCAGCACACTATCACTCCCAGCCGCATCAGTGCTTTCATTTCCTCCTCCTTCTCCTCTGCCCTCCTCTCAAGCCTCATTCCTAATCAATCTTGACCTCCCACTTTTTGCTTAGGATTGCCAACAATGCCAGATGTCAAGACAAATCAGCCTATGGACTTTCTTGTTTTTTCCCCAAACAGAAACCATCAATTCTACAAAATTAGGAAAGATTAGGGTCACTTCTGTGGACAAGTATCAGGGGGTAGCCGTGTTGTTTTTGTAGATACAGACTAACAAGGAGTCTGGTGGCACCTTAAAGACTAACAGATTTATTTGGGCATAAACTTTCGTGGGTAAAAACCTCACTTCAGATGGATGCATCTGAAGAAGTGAGGTTTTTACCCACGAAAGCTTATGCCCAAATAAATCTGTTAGTCTTTAAGGTGCCACCAGACTCCTTGTTGTTTCTGTGGACAAGACTACAAACTAGAGTTACAGGGTACAAGGTGGGAGCCAGTGTAATAGGTACCACCAACTCACTCTTAAATGCACACTGATCATCACAAAAACATAATTTCATGAAAGGCGAGAACTAAGGTTACTTTGAAATTACCATGTTATAGGCATCTTGCCTAGTGTAGGTTAGGAGCTCTTCCTCCTCCTCCCACTGCATTTCATCTTCCTTTTCCTTCAGCTTCTTGATATGATTGAGTTCCCACTCTCTGTTTGCAGTTTTCGACTCCTTTTAACAGGGAAATCCAGTAAAATTAAATTAAGCCTTACAGCATTGCAATCTCAGAAAGTAACTGCCTAGCTTTTCACAAAAAATTAAATGATATTTAGAAGTGGATTGCCACATATGTGGATATGATAATTAGGAATGGATGCATTTATTGACATGACAACATAGTGGTACAAAGAGTTTACTAAGATCAACCTGCATTCTCATGGAGTAAGACAGGAAATGCCAGGACACAGAAACAAACCTACCACTCCATCCATAGACACAAAACGTATTTTAGCAAGGGATAAATGCTCACTAAGTCTTTTTCGTCCTTATTCTTTTTTTTTTTTTAATGTAATGTTAAGCATAACCATTTTAAACAAAGCTTCAGTGACAAGAGTTCCAATAGTATTTTTCTAAATTTATTTATTTAGTGTGTGCATTGTCGTCTAGCCAATGGCATCTTCAGTGGCATGATGAGGTTCTTCTAGGCCATTGCTGAACCTAGTCAGCAGGCATTCCTTGACAATGTGCGTCATCGTCTGTATTGCGCCGCAGCTGCACAAAGGGCTGTCACGAAAGCCTCAGCGATACTGGTTACCATTTTTCTAATAGTATATTGCCAGTAGTGAAATGTATTTCCTTACCTCATTGACTTTCTGCTTTCCCTGATCACTGTAGTCATGAAATAATTCCAAGTAATTCAAAGCATACTTTTCAATTGGCGTCAGCTGTTTAGGAAAACACATTTTCAAATACTGCTACTTATTTAGGTTTATAATTAAAATACAAACCTATTTTACCAGTTATTTAGGAAAAAGAGCATTCTTTATTTCTGACGCACAAAAAAGTAGCATGGTCTGATGGTCAGAACATAGGCCTGAGGGCCAAAAATTCCCAAGTTCTAATCCTAGCTCTGTTACTGACTCACAGTATGGCCGGGGATAGGCCAGAATGTCTTGGTCTCCATTTTGCCATCTGAAAAAGGAAGAGAATACCACCTGTACACTGTAAAGAAGCCTTAATTGCTTTCCAGTAAGCAGGATATTCCCCTGTGCAGAGACTAAACAGAGCTGTCCGTAGAGTGACAGGGATGGGAAACGAAGGTCCAATCAGACTAAGGAAATAGAGGAAACTCTAAAAATAGCTAACTTGATCATTAGGAAGAGGATAGAGGGTTGCACATACATCTGGGAAAGTGCTGGGGTTGCTTTCTGGTTATGTAAAACCATTTACTTTTACCCCAGAGCACTCACTGTCTCAAGAGAAAACTTGCTGACTGAAAAGTTTATGTTGATGACCCAATAGATAGTCTGAGCTAGTTATGCCAATCACCCAAGGCTTTGCAATTAATTGCTGTTTAGATTCATAGATTCATAGATTCATAGATTCTAGGACTGGAAGGGACCTCGAGAGGTCATCGAGTCCAGTCCCCTGCCCGCATGGCAGGACCAAATACTGTCTAGACCATCCCTGATAGACATTTATCTAACCTACTCTTAAATATCTCCAGAGATGGAGATTCCACAACCTCCCTAGGCAATTTATTCCAGTGTTTAACCACCCTGACAGTTAGGAACTTTTTCCTAATGTCCAACCTAGACCTCCCTTGCTGCAGTTTAAGCCCATTGCTTCTTGTTCTATCCTTAGAGGCTAAGGTGAACAAGTTTTCTCCCTCCTCCTTATGACACCCTTTTAGATACCTGAAAACTGCTATCATGTCCCCTCTCAGTCTTCTCTTTTCCAAACTAAACAAACCCAATTCTTTCAGCCTTGCTTCATAGGTCATGTTCTCAAGACCTTTAATCATTCTTGTTGCTCTTCTCTGGACCCTTTCCAATTTCTCCACATCTTTCTTGAAATGCGGTGCCCAGAACTGGACACAATACTCCAGCTGAGGCCTAACCAGAGCAGAGTAGAGCGGAAGAATGACTTCTCGTGTCTTGCTCACAACACACCTGTTAATACATCCCAGAATCACGTTTGCTTTTTTTGCAACAGCATCACACTGTTGACTCATATTTAGCTTGTGGTCCACTATAACCCCTAGATCCCTTTCTGCCGTACTCCTTCCTAGACAGTCTCTTCCCATTCTGTATGTGTGAAACTGATTTTTTCTTCCTAAGTGGAGCACTTTGCATTTGTCTTTGTTAAACTTCATCCTGTTTAACTCAGACCATTTCTCCAATTTGTCCAGATCATTTTGAATTATGACCCTGTCCTCCAAAGCAGTTGCAATCCCTCCCAGTTTGGTATCATCCGCAAACTTAATAATCGTACTTTCTATACCAATATCTAAGTCGTTAATGAAGATATTGAACAGAGCCGGTCCCAAAACAGACCCCTGCGGAACCCCACTCGTTATGCCTTTCCAGCAGGATTGGGAACCATTAATAACAACTCTCTGAGTACGGTTATCCAGCCAGTTATGCACCCACCTTATAGTAGCCCCATCTAAATTGTATTTGCCTAGTTTGTCAATAAGAATATCATGCGAGACCGTATCAAATGCCTTACTAAAGTCTAGGTATACCACATCCACAGCTTCTCCCTTATCCACAAGACTCGTTATCCTATCGAAGAAAGCTATCAGATTGGTTTGACATGATTTGTTCTTTACAAATCCATGCTGGCTGTTCCCTATCACCTTACCACCTTCCAAGTGTTTGCAGATGATTTCCTTAATTACTTGCTCCATTATCTTCCCTGGCACAGAAGTTAAACTAACTGGTCTGTAGTTTCCTGGGTTGTTTTTATTTCCCTTTTTATAGATGGGCACTATATTTGCCCTTTTCCAGTCTTCTGGAATCTCTCCCGTCTCCCATGATTTTCCAAAGATAATAGCTAGAGGCTCAGATACCTCCTCTATTAGCTCCTTGAGTATTCTAGGATGCATTTCATCAGGCCCTGGTGACTTGCAGGCATCTAACTTTTCTAAGTGATTTTTAACTTGTTCTTTTTTTATTTTATCTGCTAAACCTACCCCCTTCCCATTAGCATTCACTATGTTAGGCATTCCTTCAGACTTCTCGGTGAAGACCGAAACAAAGAAGTCATTAAGCATCTCTGCCATTTCCACGTTTCCTGTTACTGTTTCTCCCTCTTCACTAAGCAGTGGGCCTACCCTGTCTTTGGTCTTCCTCTTGCTTCTAATGTATTGATAAAAAGTCTTCTTGTTCCCCTTTATTCCCTTAGCTAGTTTGAGCTCATTTTGTGCCTTTGCCTTTCTAATCTTGCCCCTGCATTCCTGTGTTGTTTGCCTATATTCATCCTTTGTAATCTGTCCTAGTTTCCATTTTTTATATGACTCCTTTTTATTTTTTAGATCATGCAAGATCTCGTGGTTAAGCCAAGGTGGTCTTTTGCCACATTTTCTATCTTTCCTAACCAGCGGAATAGCTTGCTTTTGGGCCCTTAATAGTGTCCCTTTGAAAAACTGCCAGCTCTCCTCAGTTGTTTTTCCCCTCAGTCTTGATTCCCATGGGACCTTACCTACCAGCTCTCTGAGCTTACCAAAATCCGCCTTCCTGAAATCCATTGTCTCTATTTTGCTGTTCTCCCTTCTACCCTTCCTTAGAATTGCAAACTCTATGATTTCATGATCACTTTCACCCAAGCTGCTTTCTACTTTCAAATTCTCAACGAGTTCCTCCCTATTTGTTAAAATCAAGTCTAGAACAGCTTCACCCCTAGTAGCTTTTTCAACCTTCTGAAATAAAAAGTTGTCTGCAATGCAGTCCAAGAATTTGTTGGATAGTCTGTGCCCCGCTGTGTTATTTTCCCAACATATATCCGGATAGTTGAAGTCCCCCATCACCACCAAATCTTGGGCTTTGGATGATTTTGTTAGTTGTTTAAAAAAAGCCTCATCCACCTCATCCACCTGGTTAGGTGGCCTGTAGTAGACTCCTAGCATGACATCACCCTTGTTTTTTACCCCTTTTAGCCTAACCCAGAGACTCTCAACACTTCCGTCTCCTATGTCCATCTCTACCTCAGTCCAAGTGTGTACATTTTTAATATATAAGGCAACACCTCCTCCCTTTTTCCCCTGTCTATCCTTCCTGAGCAAGCTGTATCCATCCAGTTTGTACAGAAGACAGTTTGATGCCAGTGAGGTGATGTTGGGATACTTCAATAAAATTGTGTTTCATTACCACACAGGAAGTTATTTTCAAATGTTTCCAAAGGTTAGACATAAAAATAAGAGACATAATTCTACCAGATCCATAATGTCATCCAATTCCTTTAACTGTGACGGAGCCTTAATACTTCTTGGACAGCGTAACTCTGAAGTTACTTCAGTTCTTGACTCAATTCTTGCCTCTTGTGCATATTTTCCAAGGTCCTCTTTTCTCTGTTCAACGCTAAGAGCCTTTTGAAAATATTAAAAACATTATAAGAAAAAATACAGTGTGTGATTGTAATAAAAAGTTACATTGGAATTGGACTTTACTCTCAATTTTAGAAAAGTAAACACACTTATGAGAATCTTAGCTGAATATAAAGCCATTTTTCATTTGATTCAATGAACAAAGCTAGGAATAGGGCAATAGCACAACTGTGGAAATAAAGAACCGGTGATGTGCACAAACAATCATGGTAGTTTTCTCATCATTGACCTCTCTTTATTTTCTTTATTACCTCAGATTTCAAAAATCACCACACAATTTTTTAGCAGAAGTGCTAAAATTAAACAAAATGAGAACACATGATTTGCCCTCATCCATCAAAGAAAAAAAATGTCTATGATGGTTAGAGCTTTTACTTCAACTAAGAATTGGGATCAGATTTTAGTAATACAAATCTATGGCATGCTACAGAATGAACAGTTACAAAGCTTTATTCTCTGGAGTGCTCGCTGTAATCATTTAGTTCATTCTTTAAATTTAATCTCACAAGGATTACAAATAGCTCTGTGTGTGTAACACTCAGGCATGTATCATTATAGTATTTAAATGATGATTTTGTTTTGTTGACCAAAATCTTTTCTAGGTGTGATCCATGTGGAATTTATATCCCAAGTTTTGTTTTGAGTTTCAGGCAAAAACTTCAGCCCAAATCACTGACTTTCATATGATTTCAGGTTACAGCCCTGCAAAACCCACTGAATTTATATGGTTTTGATGCCAAAACAATAAAACCTTTGCTTCACCCCAAAACTCTGCCACAGTTCACCCCAAAGAAGAATCTAAACAAGCTTTTCAGCAAATCTGGGCAGAATCTGTATGCACGTGAATGATGCCAAGACATCACACTGATCCCTGAGCGACTATGTCTAAATTAAACTTTTTTCATTCTTGATACAATATATACAAAAGTTAAAATATTGGGGTACAAGTAACCTGTCTAAAAACAAAAAAACACTTCAGTGGAAATGAAGTCAGGCCATTAGTATTTCTGTTCCTCTTTCTTACCTCTGCAAAAAGTCGTGCAACTTTGGGCGAGATGGTTTCTGCCAGGGAAGGTTTCTCAGAAAGAACCACAAACTCCCCAGCTTTGACTCTGAAATCAAGGTCCTCTAACGAAGAATGGACTTCAAATAACTCCTGAGCAGTTTGCTGAAAGTCAAAAAGGTGTTTTGGATTCCCAATTATAATTAGAAAATTTGAAATGGCTGATTTTATCTTAAATCCACATTCTTGGTTCTTTCAGTAAACAGTCTGTCCGTGAAGGGAGAATTATAATTGCATTACCTATTACCTATGAAAATTCTTAACACATAATACAAGATGATCTTAAGGTCATTAAGTTCTCAACTTGACCTGTCTTGACAATGGTATCATATGACAGATCTTGCCTTATGGAATGCAGAGGACATACAAGTTACCCTATTTCTTTCTACAGCCCATCTTGTCCACAGTCGAAATAGGTGAGCCCCTTTAAATGGGAGTCATTGCTGAAACAACTTATTTTTCATTTAACCTAACAGTGTACTACCAGGAAATTAATTTTTAAAAAATCACTCCACACAAATCTGAAAAATTCTTCTGGATGAAATTTAACTTTAAATGTAAAGAAATGTTTCTACATTCATTTCATAGTTACTAAGTGCTACAGAACAATCGATGTAGCTTTTAAACTAGCCTTGTAAAATCATCATGAAAATTTCCTATGCGGGCACAAAATGTACTGTTACAATAATAGTTTAATGTTACATGCTTATGAAAGAAATTACTAGCCCTAGGCAAAAGGCTGCTCTTTAAGACAGCAATGCTGCAAGGTGTTGAGCACTCTGACACCAATCCAGTAAGTCTCTCAAATATGCACTTAACTTTAATTTTTATGCATCTTCAATAGTACTACTCACATGCTTAAACATTTTGAAGTACCTGTGTTAAAAACGTCAGAGGATAGTTATTTCCCTGAGCAGCTACTTCTTTAATCAAACATTTAGTGCCATTTTTCAACAGCATCTCTTCTACGGAATTACCACTTACAAGCCTGTGGAACAAAACACCCAGTAAATACAGCAACATTAAAAGCATGTTCTTCTGAAATTAAGCATTTTACAGCTAACTTTCTTTATATTATAGCAGTGTCTAGCAGCACAAATTTAGTTCAGGGCCTGTTATGCATTTTTATTAGAGACCCTGATTTTTTCAAGCAAAACTTCAAAGTTCTTTTACAAGTTCAAATATCACTTTCAAAACACAGTTATTTTCAAAATACAGGACAAAGTTTGGAATAAAAAAAGCAACTTTATGTAAAAATAACTTCAAAGCATAAAGATGCTTGCAATGCATATCCCCAGTATGAAAAGTCCACAATCTATACCTCCTGTTGATCTCCCTCAATAGCTTCAAACATTTAGAAGGGCAACTGTCAGACTACAACTACTGTATGTGGCACTTCATAGAAGGTAAGCAAGTGTCCATATGCTTAACCCTCTGTTCAGGAATTAGCAGAGTCACCTAAGAGAAGCCCTCCATCACTAGTAGTGTCAGGGGAGATGGCTGCTCTCTATAAATACATCAGAGGGATAAATACAAGAAAGAAAGAAAGGAGTTATTTAAGATAAAGGCCAACGTTGGCACAAGAACAAATGGATATAAACTGGCTATCCGCTAGTTTAGGCTTGAAATTAGATGAAGGTTTCAAACCATCAGAGGAGTGAAGTTTTGGAACAACTTCTGTAACTTGAAGTCTTTAAATCAAGATTTGAGAACTTCACAAACTCAGCCAGAGGTCATGGGCCTATTACAGGAGTGGGTGGGTGAGGTTCTGTAATGTGCAGAAGGTCAGACTAGATTATCATGATGATCCCTTCTTGTGGTAAGTCTATGAATCTGTGAGACTAGAGCCTCATGATCACCAACACCTGTTGGTCAATGGTTTCAAAAGCTAACAATAGACTTCAATCAGCAAGGACATTTATTGTCCATCATCATCAAGAGATTGTCAGGCATATTAACCGTAACAGTCAGAACAGAATACTGAGAAATATAGATGATTTAGAATATGAGAACAGAAAAATGGAAGAGGAAGACAGAGATATAATGATGGAAAAGAACAAGGTTTTAAGTAGTCTTAAGGGGGCAAAAAGTCTTCAGATGGAGAATATCCCAACATCAGAATGCAAATGTTTTATAGTGGAACTGATTTTAATGGAAGCAGAGTTCGGCCAACATTGAGCACTTTTGAAAACCCCACCCCAAAGCCATTGCTAGGAGCACTTCAGCCAGTCTAAGTATTTTTCCCCATTTCAGTTTTACAGCAGCTACACTGGCTTCTAAATACTAGTGTCACCTGTATATGTGGATGTCTTTGTTTCTCCCAATTGTATCACACCATTCCTGAGCTTTTGCATGCATCAGTGGATCTAAATCAGTGTCACAGAACACAATAGTGTTTGCCTCTATGTGACTGCCACCCATGGAAGGACTGTGGGAGGAAAGAATGGCACAGAAGATTCGCTTATCTCTGTTGAATCTTTTTATCAGCTCCTAAATGGGAAAGAGTTATAGTTACAACTCCAAATTGTTGTACATGAAATCTTTGAACTACATTTTACTACATCTTAAGAACAAGAAGATCTTAAAGTGCTAACTTTATTATTTATTTCTGTGATCTAGGTCAAAGGTGTTAACAAAAAGACTGTGAATGTTTTATAAATTGACACAAATAAATAATCCTAAATTTAATTTAGGTACTATTCTGAAATGTTTTAGAATCAGGCTTTAGTTGACCAATCTAAATACTACAGCTCTATGCAGTCATTCCATTTATCCTCCATAGAACACATCACAAATATCTTCTTTTGTTGTTACATTATGCATACTTTCTTCTTGATTTCTCTTTTTACTTGCTAAATTAAATTCCCTCCCCGGTCCTGTGCAGATTGCTATGCTGCTTTAAGGCAAAATATTTTTCTTGATGTTTTACACTGTATCTGGCTTAAAGCACAGTGATATATATGAGATGAAAAATGAGAAAGAAGAACTATGTTATGGAGGTTAATGTTTGCTCAAATTGTAGGCCCCAAAGGAAATGCAGAGTCCTACTGGGGAGGGATATGAGCATATTTTTAATTTATCCTCAGGCAATGCCAGGGCACTATACAGGCAAAAAAGCCCCTGGAGTAAGGCTGAGGAAAAGCCAACAAACTTAAAAACACTCACCGTGCATTTACAGACGGTATAATCACAAGCATTAAGTCACGAATATTATTAAAACATAAGAGCTACTGTTCATCTGGGATAAAATGATTTAAGGCTCTCTACAAGAAATCATCATGAAGCAGGACAACTCAGGATATGCGGTCTTGGCAACTTCCTCTCTTCCTTGAGACCTAGCAATTTAATTGATCTGTTTTTACAAAATGTGTTTTCTGTGCTACTACCACTTAGTTGTTCTAGCCAAATACATAATAGGCCTATGGCACTGCCAAATAGGAAGACTTAATTTAAAAAAAAAACAACAGAGTGCTGTCGTATAAATCTCCACTTGGGCTTTCTTCCTCCAGTTATATGAATTAGTAATAAACAGATGTTAAGAGGCCTCTCTCACCAGATATTGCTCATAGTTGACATTTTCATCAATTCTTATGTAGGTGAGAAAACGGACATTTAAGAACAGCTCCAGTATATCTAACATTAGAATCATCTGTGTGAGAATCAGCACACGGTGTCCTTTAGATTTCAACTTCTGAAGCAAGACAGCAAGAGCTTCCAATTTGCCTGTTTTTGAAAGAGAATAATATAAAGGTTTGCATGCAGCAGTCAAGTGTCAGAGAAAGGAGGTCTGTATAATATTGCCACCCATTCTCCTTTACCTGAATCAAACTGCACCAGTCGGCGATCAGGGAACTGTAGTAAGCGTGGAGTTGTAATCTGTTGTAGCTGATGTAAATAGGGAGCTGCCTGCTCTTTAAGATTCTGCTTGAAAATTTTCATTCCATGCCTATATGAAAGGGGAGGATTTCCGACACGCAAATATGCGGGAGCAGCAACTGCGGCCGGCAGTACACAGAGAGTGCTGTAAAATGAAGCAAAACTTTAATATAGCCTGAGCTGCTAAAAAATCCGCAGTCTTTATGGAACACTGAGCTAAATATTCAAAACCAGTATTATAATATTAAGTGTCTGCCAGCATAATACCTCATCCAATCATCTTCCTCATATTTAATAACTATTAAACCTCACGTGTGCTTTTCTGACTATGACATAATTTTTTATATTCTTGTTCCCAGGGTGTCTTATATACAGTAGTAATTGATCATTCTGCAACCCATCCTCTTAAGTGTAGGTTGAATCAGTGATTTTACCTGCTGCATTGAGAAAGTGAGAGAATGAGATTATGGGTTGGAGAGTGGAAAAAGGCACTTGAAAGTGAATGGATGGATAAAAGCTTTATGTCATGCCATGGAGAACCAAGGACTCCTTGGTGTACCTACCTCTACAGATGAACGTGGGGTAAGAGAAATCCTAACTAACCAGATACACACTATTCCTCTCCCCTTTTTATTTCCTCTTTAGTTTATCTTTTACTCATCTATATTTGTTGTTCAGTATGGACCCTAGATTTAACTTTTAAAAAAAAAAAAAAGAGTCAGAAATGTCTGAATGGTTTTTTTTGTGGATTTAAAAAAGAAACAACGTAAAATGTTTAATATTTGTAGATAACCTGGGATTACCACGCAATTTACAACCACAGTACCTTCTTACCTGCCAGGATACAAAATGTAGACACAGCCTGGGAGAACAATTAAACATGAGGGAAACAAAAAATAGTGCAGGAAACTTGATGTAACAGATTTACTTTCTTTAGCAAAAAGAATAGTTTTCATGATTCTGCAGTTGTAATATACATATTTTACAGAAGGGAAAGCTTTGTGGTAAAGTTTGTGTAAGACAAATGTAAATAAGTCTATTAATAGGACAGCTGAGAGGAATGCCTTCAGAAAATCCCAGATTTTACTACCAGATAAAATATAGATTTGTCAGTTTTATATTAAACTACTATTACCTATTAATATAATCCTTTAGGGATTCCTGTCGCTGATCCGATGTCAGGATCAGGGCTTGCAGTGGATCATTTTGGCCTCCTGAGGCACTTGAAGAAAGGCAACAGTTCACAAAACCAGCCCACCTCCATTTGTTGTCCCTGGTAGAACTCTGCTGAGGAATCTTTTTTTCACCAATCAAAGAGCAAATTCCTAATAAGTCTCTGCCATACAATGGGACTCTGGAACAACGTCGCTCATTTCCAGAAAATATTCTGTCCAGGCGCTCTTTTAGGTGCTTGTTCCTTTCCTCAAACGCTGTCTTTTATAATGAAATTCTGTTATTGATATACTTTGACTAGATATATCTTACGTAAACAAAAGAACACACAAACATAAGTTGTGGAAGAGAAACTTTATCTTAAGTGTGAATTCCAATAATGAAAGTGTGGGAAGATTAGGTAACAAACAAAATGCAGTAAAGAATTGTACAAGTATGATGAAAATGTAGATATTGGGATAGGACATTTTAAAGCAATCAACAAATTAGCTTTCCCATGTCATGCCTGCTGTTGGAAACTTTTCCTCTATCTTACACAATATGTAGGAAGTATATTCTGCATGCTTTGTTAACATACTGTTCTACTTGGTATGTACGTATGTACGCACGCACACACACACGCGCACACACACACACACACACACACACACACACACACACACACACACACAC